CACACACACACACACACACACACACAGGTAGACATGCAAACACAAACAAAACCACACTTGTTTGAGGCCAGCTCTGTCAAAGTTACTTACCGGGCAGCTGGGTGACAAGTGTCAGAAGCCAAAGAGCTGCAGCCTGCAACATGCTGCGTGCATTCCCCTCGTTTGTGCACAGAGAAGGACTGGTGGAAGATGATGGATAGATCCAGATGTGAGAAGAGGTTGAATGTGAAATGCACAGCAGCGGAGCGAGGGAAGAAACGGGAGGTGGGATGAGGAGGAGGAGGGGAGAGAGCAGGTGGGAGAGAGATGGAGTGAGACAAACACTGGTGGGATAAAGGAGGATGCTCTGTTTTTACTAGTAGTGTGCCTTACATTGACGTAAACACATAGGTATAGAAGTTTATCTTTTGCCGTAACCATTCAATAGTACCATCAGAGGAGCCAGTGTTATGAATCCACTATGTTTACGGATTGGAGTAGCACTTGAGCAATGCATTGCAGTGCCCCCAGTGCAAATTTGCCAGAACATTTAGATTACCCAATCCGGGTCTGAGGCTGACGAGCTGCACAACCCCAGTAATAGATGTAGGAGACTGCTCATAGATCAATCCTATGGAATGATCAAGTGTAAGTGGAGGCTCCTCCAGTATGTTGTGTGTTTTCGCATGTGCTTCAGAGATGTGTCAGGCATACCCAAATGGATGCCCGAGACAGACAGATGAAAATGAGTAGAGCAGTGTTTCCCAGCCTATATGTAGCCAAGGCACAAATTTAACATTGAAAAAAAAGATCTAACATTATACCACTTTACTTATGTCACAAAAAGTGGATAAACAGGTTAATTATGTAGCTTCTGCCATCTAGTGGAAGAGCATTTTAATCGCTCTTCCTGTTACTCCTCACTGACGTAGACAAGCAAAAATCATTTTTTTTCGTAAATCGACATCTTTTTCCTCTAAAATAAGTGACATTAAAGAATTTCCTGACTCTCAGCACAGTACACTTTTGTGCCACGGCACATAGATTGGGAATGCTATGAAGGGATCCCGCTCTTTTTTAGAATGTTCATACTATACAGTAGATATCAATAGTACACTACTCTATATTTTCAAGGACAATAAGACATCCCCATATGTGTTGTCTGTTTAACAACAAAACGTTTTGTATAAACAGTCAAACTAAAAATTCTATAAACTGATCATGTAATTACGTAGTTACGTTTAACCCACTTAACTTTTGATCAAGTGCAAAAATACATTTCATTGTAGGTGTATTTAAAACATTTTATCATATGAGTAATACAGTTGTATAAATTGAGGCGCAATAGATTATTCCCTTCAATTCCTATAATTCCAAAAAATGCTTTGCTTGTTTGTCTGCATTATGCGTAATTTAATCATTTTATTTGTTTGTTCGAACTACATATTATTTATTTATGGATTTCATTATTTGTGGACAGTATTGTAATGTCTTCCTTTTTCAAGCCAAAATAAGAAAAAACGTCGATAAGACGTCATAATTCCGCGACAGGTCGTCGTACATTCTTGTCGCAAGGCGTAATCGTCACAATTCTCTGTATCTTGCCCGAGCTTGTTTCCATCTCCGTGACGCTTTTCCCTGAGCCAGTGGGGACAAAATAGTGGATTGAGGTAAGAGATGGGATTCCTTGTTTTTAAAAATTTTGACAGTTTGTTGATGAAACGGTGTGATATATAGCCAATGAGTGGTGTGTGCGCCAAGCTAGTAGGTTAGAAATGGTGCAGTGGCGGTGCAGTATATATGACCGCCACCAGTATGGAGCTAGGCTACTAAACGGACTAGCCTCCGTTAGCTTGAAAAGGCGCTATCACCGCTTCGCACTTTTAATTCGTTTTACCGTGATGCTTGAAAAAAACGCCCTGTAACGTCTAATTAAATTCAAAGCCATGTGTTCTTTGGATTGATCGTGGAGGTTGTTGCCCCTTTGTCTCGCTACCTCAAAATCGCCACGAACAACAACAAAAACAAAACTTTTTAAAATTTAGCACTTCTCGATGATTTTTGGGGGCGCACCTGTCTGTCACGGTTTCTTTATTGGTCTCAAAATTGCACCGAATTCACGTGCACGTGGTTTATTCACGCAGTGCTGTCCTCTCTACAAAACGTGCTATAATATATAATAGCACATGTAAAATGTGTTTTGGTGCACACTCGAGGCTGACGAAGAGTGATACGTATTTTTTTGTGATGGGCTGTCGGTAAAATTAGGCTTAAAATAGAATAAGCTTTTTATTTAATGCGTTTTGATTCCTCGGCTGAGGTTTGCGTTTAAAGTGCTGTCGTGCGCCGACTGTTTCTTGATTGACGTCATGTTTTTGCCGTGTTTTTTTTTTTTTCTGTGGTGACCACTTTCTGCCCAAATGCCAAAACAACGCATCATAATTTCTCCCTGCACAGGAGTCAGTTTAGAGGGTTTTTTTTTTCAATACAGTACAACATTCACACAGCGTAAGCCTGACTTCCGGTCACATGACTCAAACAAAAGTTAACCTTCTCGAGAAGTGAAATCGAAACCGAATGTCTGATGGCCGTTATTATACCTCGTCCTTTTGCATCGTTTTTGGGGGTGGTTGCTCGTGAGATCAGTTGTGTATTTAAAATAGATTATTAACATAACGTACTTATATCATCACTCACGTTGTTTTTGTTTCGTGGACAAATCCGAGAACCAGTCCTCGCGTGGAAGAAGCAGATAAATCTTTTTTAACCTGAAGTACACACCTGGGAGTTTTATTTTCAATTTTCACCGCCACCCATTTTAAGGAACCTTCTTTATAAAGTCTTAATTGCAGCCACTTCCAACAATAAGGTGAGGATCACGTGTATTGCTGATACTACTGTAAATTACTTGAAAAAAAAGCATTTAACATCAGATTTATTTATTTATTTTTTATTTCAGCATGTATCAGTGGTAGAATGGTTGTGTCCTCAACCCAGAGGTTTTGGGTTCAATCCCCCAGTTGCTCCTGATGCTGCATCATCAATAGGTGAATGTGAAATTAGTGGGAAGCGCTTTGAGTGCCTTGATAGGTGGAAAAGCACTATACAAGTGAAAGACCAAGGCCATTTTCTTTTGTGACTGTTTGAGAACGCCATGTGCCAAGATAGCTTACTCTTCAGTCCGTGCCCAGCCGCAGCAGCAGCAAGCTATGCGATGTGGATCTTGTCCTCGGTGGTGAAAAATACATTCCCCTACTCACAAGTAGCTTTCGTCAAAGACGAAAAAGGACTCGCTAAGCATGCAACACCGAGCAAGAGAGACCAGGAGATGATAAAGAAGCTCTTGCTAATTGAGAATATATTTTTGGTAACTTATAAAGTTAATATAGTCAATTTCAGTACATGTGCATGTAGTGTGTTGTGGATGTAAGTCAATTTAGTTTCTGAGCCTTTTTCATTGTCGGGTGACGTTTGTCTGCAACAGTCCGTGTTAAATTCACATCTATCAAAAACATTGGAAGGCTCGAAATAAAATGGAATAGTCAGAAGGAGATCTAAATTATTCATCAGCGTCCTTTTACCCAGGGATTAAATTTCTGTGTGACTGGTACTGAGACAGTGTGTCACCTTGCAATGTCTTTGTTGACTGACAAGGTTATAATTCTATATATGCGTACAACGGCGGGATGGCAGCCATGGTGTTGAGTTCCATCGTCTTTTTCCCCGTGATACTGATATCGGTTTTCTTATGTCACAGCATAGGAATTTCTGTTGGTAAAAGAATGCCCCCTGATGTGGTCTTGATATTGTATATTCTATGCGATTTGATCATGTCAGGTTGAAGGGTCACCAGCGAGGTTTTAACGTGAAATAGCTTCTTCTTCTTCTTGTATTTCTATCCTTTCCTGCTTCCGGCTATATCTAATGTTGTCCTGTGGTTGTCTTTGTTTGTCTTCTAGGTGTACCGAAGCTATCCTCCTCTGACGTTCGGGGTTTGCTTTTGGATGGTGTACATTTGTATATAGACTGCACATCCAGCCACGTCGGCCCCCTTTCTTTCTCGACCCCTGCGCTATGAGCAGAGGTAGAGGAGGGCCTTACAACGAACAGTATTACCGGCACCCGCCACCATATTACCAAGCAAGGGAGCATCCTGAAAGATCCGGCCCGTCCGCTTCCTTCAAAAGAAGCGGCCCGCAGCTTCAGCAGCCATTTTCAAATCACTACGACAGACCTGTCTGTCCTGTAGCATCCCCGCGACCTCCGTCTCCCCTTACCCCCTCTGCCCCACCCATACCAAGCTCTACTAAGAAACCTCCGGCCCCGAACGCACCCTCGCATAGTCGGAGTTATAATCCCCACCCTTTCCTCAATTCCTTTCAGTACCTTCAGGTCCAGTTTCTGAGAGGACAGCGCACTGAGGCGCCGCAGTTCAAAGTCACTCCTCAAAAACCCGTCAGGTTAAATAATTCCCCATACCAGCAGCAATCAGGCTACGTTCGATATCCAAAGCCCTCCTGGGGTCGAGGTTATTACAGCCAGCCCCCCAGTTTTGCTGGACACCCGAATCAAAACCAGGCGCAAAGTAAATCCTACGGCTCCAGCAGTGAATGGAGCGCACGTGCTAATGCTCTCTGCGACAGTTTTCAGGGCTTGTCCGTCCACCAAAAGAGACCGAGCGTCATCACTCTCACTCCACAAATCCAGGACCAGGTGCACAGGGCTTTAAAACCAAGCAAAAGAGTCTCGGCAAGATCCTTGGGCAAAAAACTACATCTTCCCAAAAAGATAGTCAACCAGGCCCTTTACTCGTTGGAGCGTTCGCAGAAAGTCTCCAAACAAGGAATTTCGCCCCCAAAGTGGGCGTTATATATTAAACCTGTAAAAGTTGAAGAACCTCAAAGGTCTCTTTTTGGGAGCCCCCAACAAACTGAAGTGAAATTAGAGATCAAAACAGAAATAGAAGAAGACTCCGACACAGAAACACAGTCTTCCTGTTCTTCTTCAGAATCTTCACTTTCAGAAGTATCTCACTCATCTAGTCCGAGTCGGCCACAAGAAATGTTCACAATGTCAGATCAAAAGGAGCGTGTCTTGCAGCACCTCCTGGACTTAGCGCCGGTAACTGCTCTGATGCTAGCCAAAAACATGGGCTTGAAGACCTCCAAGCAGGTCAATTCTACCCTGTACGCCCTCGAGAAGCTCGGCGACGTCGTGAAGAACGGTGACGTCAAGCCGCCCACGTGGGAGCTCTCAGCCCATCGCAAAGAGAGGATGATGAGGACCCTTAAAGCCACACAGAGTGAGCAGGTGGTGCGCGCCGAAAATGAGGAGAAGCCTCTCTTAGCGCCTGAGCCAATGTCAGAACTTGAGCCGCTGCCATTTGACGAAAGTTGGATACCAAAGACGGAAGTGGTAGGTTCTGGTTCATATGTTTTACCTTTGATTTGTTTGGATGAAAAAATGTCATTTTCTGCATAGGGCATCATTTAAATCAAGACCACTTCTTTGACTTTTTGAATACATATTTTTTTTCCTGTTCCTGTGGTCCACTGTAGAATGTTTGATAGTTGCACCTAAATGCTGTTGAAATATATGTTTCCCAAAATGCTTGACTTTTCTTTGAAGTATAATACGAGACAAAAGAATGAAACACAGCGCTCCCTAATTTGAATAACACATTTGATTTTCCCGTTAGCTGTCCCCTTCCACGGATCAACCTCCGCCCTTAAACACAAGTCAGGAGGAAATGACCGTGGAAGGACAGTGGGCCTCTGACGATATTCCGGAATACCTGAACGCCATTCGCAAACAGACGGACTCGGAGAGAGCGGCCGCCGAGTACGGCAACCCGATTGGTACTGTCGCTGTGTCTCTGGCCGCCCCGCCGGCGCAGAACCTTTGGGCAAAGTTGCAGGAGGTTCGTCTGAAGAACCCCGTGAGCGGTCTCATGGAATACGCCCAATATCTGGGCCAGAGCTGCGAGTTCATACTCCTTGACCAGTCGGGACCCTCCCATGACCCCAGGTTAGTTAGTCTTCCGCGCTCAGACTGTGAAGTTTTGGTTGATTGATCTCCACGCTGCACTTAGAGGAAAAATCAATACCTTTTAATACAGACATTTAATGCTCGCACCCAGAATGATATTGCTTAGCTGATCACATCTCGTTTGTCTTTTAACGGCGCGCCGTCTGCCAGATTCCGCATGCAGGTCATGCTGAACGGGAGACTGTTTCCGATTGTCGAAGCCTCCGCTAAGAAGGTCGCAAAGAAAGACGCCGCCGCCGCCACTTTGCTGATTCTCTTCGGCGAGATGCAGGGAGGCGCGAGTAACGGGAATGAAGGAAGTACCGCTGGGATGAACCAAACGAGGGACGTGCTCTCCAACTCGGATGTAAGTTAGGACTTCCCAGTTTCAGTTTCAGTCGTGACAATCCAATAACGATTGGTTGTGGTTTTCAGGCCACCATTGAGGGCTCGGGGGGCGTGTTTGGACCAGGTACTGTGGAAGTGATGGGGATGCCCGAGGGACCTCGCCAGCCACTGTCACGTTCATTGCCTGGGGGGAAGAATCCCGTGTCGGTTCTGATGGAATACAGCCAGCGCAGCGGGAACCCCATTGAATTTATCATCACTGGCCAAGTTGGCCCGCCGCATGATCCAAGGTACTTTCTCCTTCACTGCCACAGCCTTTGGCTTTTTATTTCATGCTATCCAAACCGTCCTTGAAATATCGACTACCTCTCCGCGCGGTGAAAAGAACCAAACCCCCGTTTCTTTGTTTTAATGAGCCAAGTGCCGACAAAGGACAGAATGATGCTTACACGCTAAAAGTGATTCAAAAACCATGAAGTATGCAGCAGTAAAACCCTCCTTTAACGCGAAACATTCCTGCACACAAAACCAAAAGCCAGCCATATTTCAGTTAGCATTAAGTCTGCTCGCTACCCCCCTGCGGGGTTTTCCTTTTTTGAGTGTGATGTTCCCCTCACATGTTTGTCAGAGGGTTCTTTATCTCATCCCACTTTTCTCTTCCAGGAGCACAGTCCGGCCTGGCCAGTATTTTTCCCGGTATTTCCACTTTTGGTCCGACCCTTCTCACAGTCAGCTGACTAGGACACACAGAACGCTTGTGTTTTCTGAATTTGCCACAAGTCATATCATATTCTGTCTTGATTTGCTCCACCAGCTCCTCTCATTGCAACAATATATTTGCAGTATAGTTGTGACTTGATATGGTCCTTTACCCGTCATCCAATGGGAGTTAAAAGCCTCCATTTCAAATGTTGTGATGTGATGATGCCTAGAGAGATCAAATGCTCAACTCAATGTTAACTGGCTCTGTCCGCCTCTCTTGTCCTCAGGTTCATGTACAGAGTAAAGGTTGGAGAGAGTCTGTTTGCGGAGGCCTCGGCTCCAAGCAAAAAGGCAGCGCGCCAGCTGGCAGCTGAGGAGGCCGTCAAAGAATTGATGGCCGACGGTAGGCTGCAGCTCAACAAGGTGAGGGGCAATAAGATGAGCAAATTCCTCCAGGTTTTATTGCCTTTCTTTCCCTGTTTGTTCCGTAAAGCTTTTTTTTCCCTTGTCTCCTGGCCTTCTCCCTCGCAGCCCCAGTTGCCCCTCGGCTCTTCCAGCGACAGTGATAGCTGTGGGACTTGCCCCTCTCTGCCACCTCTGACAGCCGATGAATTGCGAGCCGCCCACGAAGCCGGAGTCGGAGATCTCATCAACCACCTGAATAACAACGCCGTGTCGGGGCTTCTGGAGTACGCCAGGGCCAGAGGATTTGCTGCTGAGATCCGCCTGGTTGGCCAGTCGGGGTCAGCGCACGAGCCCAAGTATGTGTGAGATTGCCGTGTCTGTCTCAATGATCGTTGGAATGTCGTGCGATGTGGGCGTGGGTGTGTAAAAATGGCAGGTCCTGATTTCCTGTCCGGCTTTCAGGTTCACATATCAGGCCAAGCTGGGTGGACGCTGGTTCCCGCCAGTTTGCGCCTCGAACAAGAAGCAGGGCAAACAGGAGGCAGCCGACGCTGCTCTTCGCGTTCTGATTGGAGAGGCAGAAAGGGCAGCCCGCACTGGGGAGCTGATCCCCGCTGAGGTATTTCCCCCCACCAATAGACTCTTAAGTTTTAGTCATCAATGGCTCGGCCGGTTCCTAAGGTACTACAATCGAAAATAATGCTTCCAAGTGTTTTTTTGAACAGTGAATGTGGGTCTGAATGCTTGCTTGTATGTGTGAACAATAGGTGCTGAATATTGAAAATGTATATTTTAATGTATTTGTGTAACTAGTGGCCACTTTCCAGTTAACATCCATCAATCTAATCCGTTTATCCTCACACGGGTTGTGGGCGTGCTGGAGCCTCTCCCAGCTGTCTTCGGGGCAGTGGGCGGGGGACACCCTGAACCGGTTGCCAGCCAATCGCAGGGCACACATAAACGAACAACCATTCGCACTCACAATCACACCAACCGTACACTTCTACGCTATGAGGCTGGCGTGCTAACAAGTCGATCACCGTGCCACTGCCAGTAAACATCTGATACTATAGATGAGTGAGTCATTGCCTGTGGCCACTATCCAAGGAAATCAAGTCAGAGAGACCAGTGGTGTCTTTATGTTCTCTATGTACTTTCACCTTCCAATTTATTTTCCATCGACGATGCACTCTACAGCACAGTCACGCGTAATTCAGTTACAAAAGAAACATCACAATGGATGAATATTTTTAACTAGCAAGCAGATGCATCAATAAATCAACAGAATTGTTCACCTGGCCTAAAGCGACAACTATCCTAAACACCTTTTATGTGTCCAGACTGCACAGTTACCAGTATGCCTTCGTAACAGCCAGAGGAAATTGTTTTTGAGTGAAATAACTGATTGTAGAATGTCGTTATTATCCTGTCACTTTAACGTTTTCTAGCTTCCCGTGAGTGGCAGCACGTTGCACGACCAGATCGCCATGTTAAGCCACCAGCGCTTCAACGCCCTGACCACGCGCATCCAACACAGTCTGCTGGGACGCAAGATTCTGGCCACCATCGTCATGAGGAGGGGCGAAGGCCTGGGAACTGTTGTCAGCCTGGGAACGGGTGTGTGCGGTCTTTTCCAGAAAATTCTTATCGATACACAGCATATTTCAGTAGTCTGCGACATTGATTCTCTGTTTGATTTGATTTGATTTTTTTCAATTCCAGGCAACCGTTGCGTTAAAGGGGAGGAGCTGAGCCTCAAAGGAGACACTGTGAATGACGGCCATGCTGAAATCATCTCCAGAAGGGGGTTTGTTAGGTACAAATTAATCTCTAAAGGAAAAACAAACAAAAAAAATTGTTGTTTCATTTTGGGAACACAAACCTGTCTCTGCTGTGTCGTTATTTACAAATCTGTCTCCCGCTCTTAGATTTCTGTACAGTGAGTTGCTGAAGCACTTTGAGGGTACAGACAACAGTATATTTGAGGTCGCGCAGGACAAGAAACTGCAGATCAAATCTGACATCACCTTTCACCTCTACATTAGGTGAGATGATGTTTTCCCCGTCCCTCATATTCCCACTTCTGCTCCCCCCCCCCCCCCCCCCCCCCGCCCCCGCCGCCACATGTGCAGTGATATGTCATTTCAAACTGTTATTTTCTTTCTCATTTTGAAGCACGGCGCCATGCGGGGATGGCGCTCTGTTCGACAAGTCGTGCAGTGAAACAGGAGAAGAGGTGGGCTGTCACCAGCCTCTGTTTGAGAATGCCAAGCAGGGCAAGTTGCGCACCAAAGTGGAGAACGGTGAGAGCCTCGAAACACGCAAAGATGATATCCGGAGCACAATTTGGACCCATGTGATTTTGTCGGTTTGTGTGTGCTGCTACAAGGTGAGGGGACCATCCCGGTTGAGTCTAGCGCTATTGTGCCCACCTGGGATGGCATTCAGCATGGGGAGAGGCTGCGCACCATGAGCTGCAGTGATAAGATCCTGCGCTGGAACGTACTGGGCCTACAGGGGGCGCTGCTCACTCACTTTCTGAATCCCATCTACCTGAAGTCAATCACACTTGGTAATCCATTTTGCCGCATATGGCTCTTCTTCTTTATTGCGTTGATACATCTCTCTGTGTATAAATAATAAGACCTTTTCTCATCAATCTTCCTTCACATCGAAACCATCTTTCTTCCTTTTCAGGCTACTTGTACAGCCACGGTCACCTGACTCGGGCAGTGTGCTGTCGGCTGGGCAGAGATGGCGACGGATTCAGCCAAAGTCTCCCGGCTCCCTTCCAGCTCAACCACCCTGAGGTGAGAGCGCTGTCATAAATCACCTCGCGTTCATTTTACTAATTGAAGCCCTCCCTCCAGCTGTTTTCTTTATCAATAAAACAAGCGTATTGATCCGCCGGCACCAAACGAGTGTGTCGCTTTTACTGTGAGGTGAAGGCCGACGACAGCTGCACTAATTATCCTGGATGTGTGTACTTGACTGTATTAGCATTCCTGATACTAACCAGGCGCAATGCAACAACCTGTTGCATCCCATCCCATCTGGTTTGCTCCATAGGTGGGCCGAGTCAGCGTGTACGACTCCACACGTCACACAGGCAAAACCAAGGAGTCTAGCGTGAACTGGAGCCTTCCAGACCACACGAGTGTGGAGGTTCTGGATGGGACCAAAGGCAAACTCGATGGGTATGTCATCAAACCAGAATTTGTTTATTTTTTGCGTTAAGTGTGTGAAATTTTATGCATCTTTGTTTGGCTTTTATGTCCACGACTTTGGGATGCCGTTCAACGCCGATTTAAATTTTGAATAGCTGCAAAACTAGGAGTAAACGGTCAGCGATTTGTGAAAACTAGTTATCGCACATTGCATGATGAGTCACTCGGGTTCGGGTCAGTTTGTTGCAGGTTTTACAGTTCCACTGTAATAATAAACACAAACTTCAACTTGTATTTTTCTTTTAAAGCATCAGTTAAGCTCCAAATTTGGTCCCCTACAGGAACAAGTTGGGCGTGTCCCGTGTGTCCAAATCCAACCTGTTCTGTCTGTTCCGCACACTGTGCCAGCGCTGCGACCGCAACGACCTCCTCGCCATGCACTCGTACATTCAGGCCAAGCTGGCGGCCAACTCCTTCCAGCTGGCCAAGTACCGCTTCTTCCAAGCGCTTGGCGACCACGGCTACGGCGCGTGGATCGGCAAACCGCTGGAGGAGAAGAGCTTCGAGGCGGGGGAGGAGTCGCCCAGCGTGCCCGCCGCGTTCAGCGGCGCTCGGAACAGCGGAGCGATGGAATACAACCAGGCGGAGGCGTAGCTCGAGGTGCTCATGGTACTCGGCTGCCAGGCTGCTCGAGAAGGGAGGGAGACAAGAAAAGGACAATCAAACCATAGCCACTGGCCGCCCATGTGTCATCTGATGCTAACGTGGCTACGGGCTAACGACAGACTGATGGCAAAGGATGGGCAGAAGAGGAGCTAGATGAGAAGCCTGAAGCAGGAACGCGCTTGAAAATGGCAATAGAAAGAGCAAGAACGGAGGAGCAAAATAAAGCTGCTATGTATGACAGGTTATGTTAGCGCTGACATGCGCCATTTTGTAGAGTCGCATGCAGTCCATGCTCGTGACTTCCTTTAGTCTTTAAAAGATCTCTCATGATGACCAACGGTGAAGCTGAAAGAAGACCAAGCAGCAGCGAGATTTACTTTGCTTTTCTTTGAGTGGACTAAAGGCGCCTCTAGCGATTTAAACCAGCTATGATAAAAACACATCCATCCGTGCGTGGTCGCCGTGGTTACCGCTAGCATACCAGAGTTTTGTGCACCTCTTTGATCAGTCCTATGCTTTTATATATACACACAAGAAAGAAGATGTCACGGCCTCCAGGCTGCACACGAGCTCTTTTCGTCAGGATGTTCTTCTGTGAGGTTCCCACCACCACGTTTCTTTTACCTTGTCCAGCGTGCATATTTTTTTTACATTGAAAAGCACCTCGACCCTGACCGTATTTGTCATCTACTGATCCTTTTTTTTTTTAAATTTTGGCGATGCAATATGCAAAAGATACCAATGCAAATGTGCGATCCAAATACCCAAGTCCAGACACAAGTAGCCCAAATGTTGCGCGACCGTCGGAGGAATAAATGTCCTTACCGTAGAAAAACTAGTGTTCCTGACTACTGTGTTTAAGTACACTTATGCTTCAACTGGAAAGTAAGTTTGAGTTTTTATTGCTTTTCCTTCCCATGCGCCTACTTGACGCCTGCGGCAAAGCTCTTAAAAGTCCACCCCGCATTTCTTTTCAAGTAATTGATTTAAAGCTTAAGATAGTAACCCTAAAGCCTTTTTTTTTTAATGGCGTGGTGCATCCTTTCCAAAGGTTTCAATCCTCTGGTGTAGGTGCAAAATCTCTTTGAACACGATGTTATATTTTCCAATCAATGCATAAAAATAATAGTTGTCCTTCTGGACCCCTTGTTAGAAATACACTCATTGTGTGTGTATGTGTATAATTTAATATTATATGGAACTGTGATTTTTTTTTTTTTTTTTTAACAAATGAAGATTGGAAATTTCAAAAAGAATAAATTAACCAAATTCCACCAAAATGTGTTTGGAAGTTTCCTCTCAGCCATCATACACAATTCATACATCATCTGCTGCTAAGCCCTGAGGCGCGGGGGTGCTTTCATTACCTCAGGGCTCAATATTGGAGCCGGGTGTATGTAACCCTCAAGGTTTGCTCGTCTCTCTGTCAAATCTATGTGCTAGCCCACTATGCTGAAAGATGACTGAAAGGATGTGATGTTTCCATACCAACGGGGGAGTTGGGCTTCAATGACTTCTCGATAACGGTCGCTCTGATCAGCTGATGGATGCGTGCACAGCTCACAGGGCTTTAAGAGGTGGGAATGTAGACCTAGACCTTGTGGAATCAGGTCCGAGGTGACCTGATGTTAGTGATGCTTTAACAAGAACTCTTGTCCGGGGGTTTCTTGAGTGGTCTTCAGTGCAAAAGTCTTGCCATCACTGCGGTATCTGCATGGCAAAGTTTGAACACCGAGGCTACTAAAAGAAATCGTACAATGAAAGTACAGCGACAGATTTATAAATTGGCACCATGGGAGGAAAATTCCGTACCCATACCAGAGTTGGCAACCCCGTAGGACGATGCCTTGTTGAAAGTGTATTTGTTCCCTGATGTGTTAAAAGCACTCTTGGATAATCATTGATTCACATGCTAAAGCCACCGAACAGATCTGATTCCAGGGAAACCGCGTTGCTGTGTGAAAACGCACACAGTGATTGCAATGCCCCCACCCCCCTCCCCCTTTGCTGAGTTGTGTGTAAAAGGCATCGGCAGGATGAATGCTGGGTCTTCCGTTGTGACTCGGATCCCGCAATCCGTCGCTCGTGTAGAAAGAGACGCGTCAATTGGAAGCTGTACCTCGCTAATGGGTGGTCGTCGCCGAGGATAACGACGCAATATATTTGCGTTCTACGTTTTTGTCTGTCACTCATGTAAAAAAAGACTATTTTCTGTCATTTTCGGTATAGTCGGTAAAACACCACATTTTAATTTCACGTCGTTTCGTTTCTACGTGATAAGTGGAAGTAACATTGTCATCTTGAACAGGGACAGATTTACCATTAGGCAAAACGGGGCCACAACATATACAGTACAGGGGTCCCCGAGCATTTTGTAAGAACTGTTAGTTTTTTTCTGATTTAAAATCAGTTGTTTTCATCTTAATTTATGTTCTTAAATGCACGTCAAAATGTTTCATCTGTCGTAATCGTTTTGACCGCTCCGCCCTCTGTTTTCATGCCGTGAACCATTCCATCTTCTTAATTATGCATGTGCAGACTTGATTCAGCAAGATTTAGTCACTCATAATCCAAACCCGTTGGCACAACAACAATGACGAGTTAACTCAGCGAAGAGAGAAGGTGAGAGGATTGTTTTCCTTTTTTTATTTTATTATTATTTTCTTTAATCAAACCGATGAAATGTTTCAACTTTTTCAGGGTGACACCGAATCTGCGCAACCGTCAACAGCGAGAGCCAAACATTCTTGCCAGCTGCAGAAGCACTGCTGCCAGAAGTGACAGCGATGAAGATGTAATAGAGAGGAAGGTAAGAGCGACGTGAGTGATGAGTGACAGCCCCTTTTCATCACGGACTTGTGAGTATTAAAGTGGTCAAAACTGTAAACTGTCACAGCCCCTTTTCATCACCGACTTGTGAGTATTAAAGTGGTCAAAACTGTAAACTGCCGAAAGGTTGATTCGTTTCCTTACCAATTGCAAAAGAGGAATTACTTGTTCGATTCACTTGTTAGATAACAATCATCAAAGTACATTATCATTTAAGACCTTGTGTTGAGGTGAAAAAACATTTGTTAGTGCGCTAACCGGAGTCTTGAGCCCCCAAATGACTAAATTTGCCCCTGATCTTGAATGACGTAACAGTTAGAGCTTGTTCATAGCTGAGCAATCGTTGTTCCTGTCAAGAGACAAGGCAGCAATATTACCAGCTAATTAGTCATGTCACTCATAAATAATTTTATTAGAACACATGTGGAAAACAAAGTCAACAACATGCAGGAGTTAACATTTGTATAATCTCTCGTGTATTTATTAGCTCCCAACTAATTTGTCATCCGCTATGCATGCATCTGTTCAATAATGAGAGCTTATTTGAATCAATGCTCCCCCCCAGCCCCCCCCCACGTCTTTTTCCAAGTCAAGTATTTTGAGAGTGGGACTAATGATGAAGAGTGAGGCAACAAGCACGTAGGAGGAAGGGGGGGCTTTGGACTGAAATATTAGTCCAGAGCCGAGTGCTTAGAGGAGCCAATCGATGCTCTCCAAAGGAAATAAATGAGAAGAGGGAAAGGGGGAATATCTCAGAAGCTGAGCGGGGCCTGCAAAGGCCTCATTGGAGTCAAGTGTGAAAAGACACAAGATCACAGCAACTTGTAAGTGCATATACGCTTAATAAAGACGAGGCGGCGGGGGTAAGAAAGCCTCACAGAGTTACAAATTGGACAAAAGGAGAGTACAAATAGTGGCTCAACTTTTTGTCCATAATTCCTGAATTTAATGGCCACTTCATGGACTTGTCATTCACTAAATGTGACCGGTGGGAATAGATAATTCAGTGTTGGGCCAAGCCCTGGATAACGAAAACCCGCAACAACCCCCCCGTGCCACCCCCCTTGAAAAGAAAGGTTAAATGGTTTACAAATGCCTATAGATGCCGCAAGATGGTCGCAAAGCACCGCATTTGTCTAAATGGAAGTCTTCAATTCACTTCAACATAGTTCCTTGGCACCAAGATGGCGCCCAAGCAGTTACTATACTTTTAGATTTTGGCCTGGGCATAAAAACGGGAAATAGGTGAGTTTTTGAAGTGGAAAATTGAGGATGGGTTAAAATAGTCATAAACATATGTGTATATATGAGCTCACAGGTCCGTATTTGTCATTTTACATTTGGGAAATACTAAGTATGAAAAGCTTCAATTTATTGCAATCCCGTTGAGGACAAAAACTATTGAAAATGAAAATTTTAATATTTTTGAGCAAAGGTTTTGCCGAAACCAAAGCATTGATAGGGTATGCTTCGTTATTTGTAATTCATGATAAAATGTCTTTTGAGATACCTTGTTTGTCTACAACAAGGGTGTCAAACTCATTTTGTTGCGGGCCACTTTGGAGTTAAGTCTTACCCCGGAGGGCTGCGACGACAGTGAAAATGTTTCATCATCACATCATATTATTACTTCTACACAACAAATTGATGTATTACTAGTTTTGGAATCAGTCAACTTTTTATTTGTTGCTTGTTCAATTATTGTTGAGGTGTGTGTAACAAAATTATTGCAAAATCTCAATGTTATTAATTACACATGAAAATTTGACATTTCGGTACAGATGTTAGCAATTATCATGGAAGTTAATACACATGAATTGTTTCCACGGGCCACATAAAATGACACGGCGGGCCAGATCCGGCCCCTCGGCCTTGAGTTTCACACCTGCAGTCTGCAACCATGCGTTTTTCTCCAAATTAGGCTTCATTCTCCGTGTGAGTCACTATCACCAAACGTGTGCATAACTGCAGTTTATTTATTTATCTTTATAGTGATATAGACCCTGGTAATCCTATTTGGTAAATGTAAAACTCTGGTCACGTGACAGTCGCTGTGGCGTGACATGTGAGTCAGATGAGCCAATGGCGTCACCACTTGACTGACGGTTTGGGCCCAGCTGACTCACGGAGGGCAGCGTGTGCAGTCATCTCTCAACGCCGACCCTGCATAAATTTCGACCATCTCGCTGACTTTTTGAGGGGAGCGCAGCTATCCTGTGCGCCACTTGTAAATATTGGCTTAGGGACAGCTGTGTGCGCTCGTCGCAGCCACAGTTAGACCGCTGGCCTCTTCAATCACACGTGACACCACGACAGCATTCCGCCAGGGTTTCAATGTATTAAACGAGGCCCGAAGTGGACACGGCATGTTATGAGGGTCTTATCACTGCAGAGGAGGGTGATGGAGGTGTAGACACCGAAATTTGCTCAAAAAAGAAGAAAGAAAAAAAAAAAAAGGACATCTGAATCATCTCTTAAGGGAGCTTAGAAGAAATCCGACCGGAATGTTAAAGTGACGGGAAGTGCGTATGTGTGTGTCTGCGCACTTGAACGCACCTTCCGTGTCTGTCTGCTGACGCTGCAGAATGATAGTCAGCCATGAAAAAAAAAAAAAAAAAACCCTCACGATACTGGATTTTGACATACAGTACTTTTCTTGGGGACAGCGGCGAGATTTTAATATAGAATGATAAGAAATACATCATAATAAATTGATATACTCAATAACGACTTGTGACGTTGACTACCTTGTGAGTTTATATGCAATATCCAATACCTGGATATCATATTGTGTATGCTCATTTTCAGTGATGTTTGGAGGTGGGGTGGGGAATGTGTATGCAAGCACCATAATCCACTATTCATTTCCTTGGGTATTGTGTTGACGGTTTCATAAAACAGGGACGG